TATGTGAAAAATTCTTTGTGCACTATGGGCTCCCTGCACGAATACATTCTGATCAAGGAAGAGACTTTGAGAGCCGTCTCATAAAGGAGCTCCTTGGGATTTTGGGGATCCAAAAATCCCGAACGACTCCATACCACCCGCAGGGTGAACCGCAACCTGAGCGGTTTAATCGCACCCTTCTTTCAATGTTAGGAAATCTTGATCCAGCAAAGAAAGTTATATGGAGCCAACATATCAGTCAATTGGTCCACGCTTATAATTGTTCTAAAAACGATGCGACTGGCTACTTCCCATACTATCTCTTATTTGGACGGGAAGCACGTCTACCTGTGGATCTTTGCTTCGGCACTTCACCTGATGGAGATAAGGAAGTAACTTACTTGCAGTATGTGGAAAGAATGCAACGTGAGCTTCAAAAAGCTTATTGATTAGCAGAGGAGACCTCCTTGAAAAATCATCAAAGGAACAAACAACGTTATGACAAAAGAGTGAAAATTCAAATGCTTGAAAAAGGAGATCGTGATTTCATAAGAAATCTGGCGCAAACAGGAACACATAAATTAGAGGACAGGTGGAATCCTGTGCCTTACATTGTGACAGAAAAGTTAAAGAACTTGCCTGTATACAAACTGAGACCGCAAACAGGAACAGGACGGTTGAGGACTGTTCATAGAGATCACCAATTGGAGACTGTGAGAATTTCTGCTCCTAGTGGTAGGGAAGAAGACATGAGACCACCAATAACAAGAGCCCAAACTGCGTGAGAAAAGCAATTAAAAGAAAGGGTATCTACCACAAATGAACAGAGCAGAGTGGAACCAACTTCTGTGATGATGAAATTTGTTACTACGTACCAGAACGATGTAGAATGCAGACCAAGCCTCTATATACATTGTTGCCTGAACCTGCGGTTGAAGAAGCAGAACACAGGGCTGATGGAGGTGGAAGTCAAGACTAGTGTAATAGAGGAGAGTCGGAAAGAGGAGTCACCAAAAGAGTCAGAAACCCATGTATGTATGTGTGTGAGTGGGCCCACGTGAGTTAAGTTAGTTATTTGTTGCATTGCAATTGCAATATCTAAGGAACAGTTTGTTATTGTATTTCCATTGAACTTGTGATCACGTTTAAATTGCAATAAGTGTGCATTTGGAATACACAGTTAAGTGGTGCAGTACAAAGGGGCGGTCTGGCTAGAGCCTTTAATAGGTTGTTTGGGGAGACCAATTTAATTGCTGTGACATTTGTACATTTTCATTGGTCCTTTTTTTCCCATCTCTTTTAATTTTATTTTGTTAAATAAATACTGTCATAGTGTTACTTTTAAGTGATTTCAGTAAAGTCATTACGGGTTAAGGGAAAATATCTATATAACCTGAGTAAATGTTTCAATGGAACCCCCTATTGTGTTGACTCAATTTGACATATAAGGGCATTTTATAGTTAACCTCATTACTTTCGAATCAGTGGTTTAGGAGAGGTTCCTAAGTTTATTTAGTCGAGAGACTATCCCATTTCGAACCCAAGTGCTCAGGTAAGCCACCCTGAGAGGGAAGAAGGTGCTACACACTGCAAAAGAAAAAAATCATAATCAGTATCCTTTTAAAATATCTAAAAATAATTAAATGTAATCTACTTTGGATGCAAAACTGATGAAGATATATATTCATAACTAAATTTATTTGCCAACCCCCACTAGCATTTAAGCATAAATCAAACAAAATACAGTTAAGACTAAATGTATCTTTTTTTTCTTTTGCAGTGTGGTAATCATTCGTGGAATGATTGGAAAGTCGTGGCCTAATGGTTAGAGAGTCGGACTCGTGTGTGTGTGAATGTACAGCTCTCTCTCCCACCTTCAGTACCACGACTGAGGTGCCCTTGAGCAAGGCACCGAACACCCAACTGCTCCCCGGGCGCCGCAGCAAAAATGGCTGCCCACTGCTCCGTGTGTGTTTTCACGGTGTGTGTGTGTTCACTGCTGTGTGTGTGCACTTTGAATGGGTTAAATGCAGAGCACTAATTCCGAGTATGGGGTACCATACTTGGCCACATGTCACGTCACTTATTCAATACATGTCAGTACAGGCCCAGTATATGTCGAAATGTTGTTACTATTCAATACCAGTGTAACATGCACTGCCACAGAACATGTTATGAGGGGTGTACTGCTGTTAATTTCCCATGATGTAAAACCAACTGCATCAGGCAATGAAATCCATTTTGAAATTCATTGAAGCCTTGATCGGGAATGTTTTCCTATTGTTGCACACAACTGAACTCTATAAGCCAGGGCTCATTTACTGCTTGCATACATCACTTAGACAGCATAAAAGAGTCATATTACACCATTCCCAGATGCCTCGGTTATGACAGTGTGGAAGGCCATAGAGATGAGATGAGAGAGCACCAGTGACATATGACAGACAGAGAATGAGAGGAAGGCTTCTGATGATATCGCTGAGTGACAGGTTTTCACTCTCAAGGTGTCAACTGCTGCCGAGTTCACATTTAAAATAATACCCCAAACTATCATCACTACAACTTCAGATACAGGAGCAGCTGATCCAAAATGCATCAAAATGCTTAATTAATCAATATATATATATATATATATGTTTTGAAACATAGGACGTCATATAAGAGTACATTTACATATATTACATGTACTAAAAATGGAAACGTTTTTCCTTTGCATTTTTTTTATATTTACGTACAGACGACAACATAGTCAAAATGATCCCCGGATTCACACGGATCCATGAAAACAACAAAAAAATTATTATGCTTTATTATGCATACAAGGACAGTAGTTGGCGATGTCACTTTATTAGGATCTTTGCCTGTGCACATACACACATCTATAGACTGAACGTGTGATACACATGTGCATGACGTCACCATTTTCATAGTTTACATGGAGACGATAACGTTATCATTTTCAAAACCCTCACTTTGTGAGCCGTTTTCAAAAGTTTGTGTTTTCAGGCCCCTAAAACACTATTGTCATGTAAATGAATGGCCAATACACAACATTTTTCAGTTGAAAACGGTGTGGTGTAAATGCCCCCTAAGATGAAGGGTGCTTGCACTTGCCATTCTGGTGCACACCCGGGTTCATTTGACGTCAGAGAATGCAATCGTATTCAATTGAAGAAATGCACTGCTATTGATAATATATGATTGGTAAATTTGTGTGTTTACTTGTTTAGTTTACTTTATTTATACATTTGCATAACTTCCCACATTTTTGTGGACAGAAGTTTACAGCAACTCACCAGTACTCCACCAAAATGAAAGCTTTATGATTTGAAATATTAAAGTTTGAGGGTTTAAAAGTGAAGAATTGTAAGACATAAATATCAGTACTATAATTTGTAGCGTAAAATAAATGTTTTTTTATATTATCACATACTCGTTTTTTATTTTTATAGTTTACCACTGTAATGTATTATATCATTCTTTTTTATAATTGTAATTAAAATTAATAATAATAAGCTCAAATCTCAATACATGACATAATTTTTCTGTATGTAAATAACAATAGTAATTAAAAAAAGGATTAAGCAGTTTGTTTACTGTTTGTTTACCATTAACCAACATCAAAGAATCACAAATTATTTAAATATTAACTTGCATAATGTAAAAAATAAAAGCTAAAAAAGGGGTTTGGCTGATTAAAAAAAAAAAATGTTTGAGAACCCCTGCTTTAGAACATATCCAGCACATTCAAAACAAATAGACACAAGTGCTGTTATTTGTTAATGCACTGGAAACAAAAGAAATGGAGCAACGCTATACATTTGACCAAAGTCACTAGTCTTTGATTTTACCATGTTCTCCTGCATCATTGTTACCTAGCAACAAGGGGTAAACAGCTGCCGTTTAATGTGCACATATTGCAGTTTGGAATAAAAAAGAAAAAAAAAAGAAAATACAGTGTGTGAACACAACCCAAAAGGGGGCAACAGAAGGGGGAGCAATCAAACCTGGACCAAGCAATCAAACCAAGTATGAAAGCACCTGAAATTGCGAGAAATTAATTTTAGGTATCATTTTAGAGTATTGTGAAGAGGTTTCTTGTTGAAAGCAAAGAGGTTGCCATTCACATTGCTATAAAAGGACTATATACTAAGGGACACCTTTAGCATCTCTGTAGTGACGTGCAAAACTCAAGAGGCAGTATTTGATGCCTTGGGAGTGAGAATGGGTTGTGTGTGAGGTAAAAAGTATTGTTGTTATTTTACAGAATGAGTATGCAGGTTGAGCTCCTGTCTCTGGGGTGACAACAGAAGGAGTGTTTGTGTTTGTCTGTGTGTGTGTATATGTGAGTATATTTTGGAGCATGTGCATGTGCAAAGAGACATCTGCGTTAATGAGGTGCAGGTGGAACAACTGCTGGTCAGAGTCGGCAGGAGATACCGAATTTGCAGATGGTTTCAATAAAACCGACAGGAAAAATTGCAACAGAAAATGCTTTTAATGTATGTCTCTGTATTTTTGAAGCCCTAAAGAACATCATCATCATCACACACACACACACGTACACAAGGACACACACAGACTATGTAATCCTTCTTTGCACATGCTGCAAATTCAAATGAAAACAATGGCGACAGATCAAAGAGGATTCTCAAGATAGGACGGGAAAGTGAAGACAGGAAATTAATGTCTGAACATTTCAGCTGCAAGCTGAGACAGAAAATATGATCTATAGGAGGAACTTAAATGCAAGGCCCCATTTACACCTGTACAGTAAAATCAGTAAAATCTTCTCATTGCCTTTGTGAGAGGTGTGTGAATCTGAATTGCAAGTAATCATGGGAAATATAATAATTTTATTTAACAGGTTTCAAGTGCTATTGGGATGCAGTGAATATTCTCTTGAAAGTATCTACAAATTATACCTGAGATAGATCACCCAAAAATAAGGTACAGTTAGCAATTTACTAAGACTCAGTTAAATTTGACAAGTTTTGGTAGTTTACAAGACACATTAGAACTAGGGGTGTAACGATTCATCGATATGGATCGATACATCGATACGATGTCTGACGATACGATGCATCGACGCCACATGCAAAATATCGATATCTGTATAAATAGGCACCTTTATTTTGGCACTGTCCACATTTTCACATAATGTCCGTCTATGCATTACCGCCAAGGCGTGCATTCTCATTCAAACTCACGTATCAGGACTCGATATAAGGACCTGCCCGAAGGCACAAGATGAGCATAAAAGACGCTCGGGATTGTTTGTGGAACAGTCGAGCGCTGTGTGAGAAGTTCCCCTTCTAGGGAACTCAACGCTGCGTCCTGGTGGACACTTTGGGGAACGCTGTCTGCGTGACCGGTACCTGAAGCATGCGTAAAACAACTCCAATCCTATTGGTCCACGTGGCCCGTGACGTCATAGGCGGGTACCTGAAAGTATAAAAGGGGCACCTGCTGAATACGTCATCAACTTTTGTTGTCTTCAGAGCCGTCTGTCTGTTGAACGTGTGTGAAACATCATCCTGGTGAGTCGAGCAGCGCTTTGAGGAATATGTGCCTCCGTGTTGGGATTCTAACACTTGAGGACATATTCTAACCTTATCATCTTTGTCTCGGCGACCACCAGTGGTGGACAGTAACAAAGTAGTTTTACTTCGTTACTGTACTTAAGTACATTTTTCAAGTATCTGTACTCTACTGGAGTAGTTTTATTTTGAGTAACTTTTACTTTTACTTCACTACATTCCAAAGCATAAGATCGTACTTTTTACTTCACTACATTTCATAAAACATATCGTTACTACTTATAATATATCACGTGCTCTGACACGCAGAAGCGGTGTCTGATTCAAGAATGAACTGATTCTTTTCAATGAACCTTTTAAGTCGGTTCGCAAATCGCACCAAACAATTCATTCACGAATTAGAATGAACCGATTGCAGCTGTTCTCGAGTCAACAACTCACTGATCAAATGAACCGTTTAGTGCGAGTCTCCAGTGAACTGACTTCACAAGTAAGAATCGGGAGATCTTGTGAGCGTGTGCGCGATAACTGTGATGTTCTGCAAAACAACAAGCTTTAAAACACTTTTTTCTTACTGGTAAAAATCAGATGGTCAAATCTGTTTTCTCTCAGGTACATCGAGTAAAATTGAAAAAGGAGTACTTTTACTTTTACTGGAGTAATATTTTACTATACATACCTGTACTTTTACTCAAGTGCTTGATTTATGTACTTCGTCCACCACTGGCGACCACGCGCTCTTTGTGATGAATTAGCTGTTAGCTTTCTCTCCCAGGGTGCTTCAGTAGTCTAGAGTGGTTACGGGGAATGTTCCTTCCTGTGTTTAGCCGGGTGATAAGTGAACAGTCTCTGCTCAGAGTGTAGCCATCTGTGGATGATTATGCTCCAGTTCAGGGGATGGCTTACCGGGATTTTTCAGGCTAGCTGTGTGGGACGAGCTGTGGATAGCTCGGTGATTGCTCCCCTTCTTAGGATTTTAAGTAGTGGTCTCCTTGAGCCCTTGCCTAGACTGCGCTGTCTCCCCTGTTCGGGTTTTAGGTAGATGGCCCACTTCATGGCCTGGGCGAACTTCAGCCTTATCTGAGGGAAATGCTATTTGAGGATAGCTGTGTCCAGCCACCTAGTGTTATGGCCGTTGCTTGCATCAGGCTTTGATCTGGACTATGGTTTTATGTGTTCGCTCCTTAGCGAATCATTACTATGGTCTGGATCTTCCTATTGTGAGCCTCTGGTCAATATATTGATGAATGAAAGCTAGCCTACTGTGGGACTGACACGGATTGGGGACCTCCTTAGTATAGCCACCTAAGGGTGGTTATATTTCAGCCATTGCCATGGTAGGTTTAGTGGTCCTCTTTCCTAGAGCCTAGCTATCTGAGGATAGCCATGTGCTAGATCGGTGATTGCTCCCCTGCCTAGGGTTTTAAAGTAGCGGTCTCCTTGAGCCCTTACCTAGACAGTGCTGCCTCCCCTCTCTGGGTCGTAAGTAGACATCCCACTCTCCGTGGTCTGGGTAGTTTCAGTCTGTTCCACCTCTGGTAGCCCTTCCTACACACATAGCTATCTGAGGATATCTATGTTCTAGCTCAGTGACTGCTCCACTTCCTAGGGTTTTTAAGTATTTAAGTAGCGGTCTCCCTGAGCCCTCGCCTAGATAGCGCTATCTCCCCTGCTATGGTTGTAAGTAGATAGCCCACTCTTGTGGTCTGGGCAGCCTCATAGGATGGCTTACCGGGGTTTTTCAGGCTAGCTGTGTGGGACCAGCTGCTGATAGCTCGGTGATTGCTCCCCTTTTTAGGGTTTTAAGTAGTGGTCTCCTTGAGCCCTACCTAGACAGTGCTGTCTCCCCTGCTAGGGTTGTAAGTAGACAGCCCACTTTTTGTGGTCTGGGTAGTCTCAGTCAGTCCCCTTCTGGTAGCCTTCCTAGGTGCATGGCTATCCGAGGATATATATGTGCTAGTGCAGGGACTGCTCCCCTTCTTAGGGGTTTAAGTAGCGGTCTCCCTGAGCCCTTGCCTAGACAGTGCTATCTCCCCTGCTAGGGTCATAAGTAGATAGCCCACTCTCTGTGGTCTGTGCAGCTTCACAGGTAGGTTTACCAGGGGTTTTAGTTTTTGGTCCTGTAGCCCCTTCCTAGGGATATAGCTATCTGTGGATAGCTATGTGAATGCTCCCCTTCCTAGGGTTTTTAAGAAGCGGTCTCCCTGAGCCCTGGCTTAGACAGTGCTATCTCCCCTGCGGGGTTTAAGCAGATAGTCATTCCCTTGGTCTGGGCAGCTCTTTAGGAAGGTCCTTTCATAAGACCCTTTGGATATAGCTATCTGCGGATAGCTGTGTCCTTGCTGGGATTGTTGGTGGCAATCTTGAGAACTCCTCTAGGCTTCCAGCCTCTAAGTGGTCTTATGTATCTGGCTACTATTGATCACATAGCATAGCTATCTGAGGATGTCTGTGTTCTTAGCTTGGTTAGGGTGTTCAACCTTATCTGGTATCGGGCTCCCTCTTTTTACCAAGTTATGTGAGCGGCCCGAGGCGTCAGTGGCTTGGCCCCTTTCTGAGGAAAGGTTTGGTGTATGTCTGTCACCTCCTTGGTGCTCTCTCACCAGGTGGACAGGCATGCGCCTCGGCATGGTGTGATTGGATATCATTCCCCAAAGTGTCCACCAGGACGCAGCGTCTCATTCCCTCTCGGAGAACCATGGTTACATGAGTAACCCGAGACGTTTTCTGCGCACACATCTGAAGCGCTCGCACGCACACAGACAGCCGCATCTACACCGCTCGAATACTTATTGAGCTCTCTTCCGCTTTTTTGTGCATGGATGAATAAATCCTTTTTTGGCGAAGTTTTGGCGAATATCCTAGTAAACACAGTCGGTTAGGCATATGTCTTAACGTAAACCGTTGAGAAAGAAAAGGCATGTGTATCCGTAGGCCTATATTAAATCCGTGCTTTGTTCTTAAAGTGAAAGCAAACTAATAATAAATCTAATGCTGTCAAAGAAAAATACAAGTGCTCACTGCTCCTGACTAAATAACCTTTGTAACATCAAAAATGATTCATCTATATTTAATTTATACAGAGAAGACTATGCTGTTATTTTACATTTGATTATTACATTTCTGTAGCGTACCTGAAAATATATTTTAGACTGAGCTGAAAAACCTGAAAAGTATTTTTATTGAACTTGTATCTTTGTTGTATTGTATTTATTTTCTGCTATTGCTTGTAATTTGGTTATCTGTAGAAAATACTTTTAGCACTGAGCCCATAGTAGCAGCCAGAATTGTTTTTCCAATTGTTTATTTTCTTTATTATTAAAAAAAAAAATGTGTAGGCCTATTTTTTTGTTGTGAATGTCCCAAATGAGGTACAGGATGTGAAAATTTCAGATAAATGTTCATGTTATATATTTTGGTTGCATTTGTGAGTTAATAAAAATGTAGATGGTTGTTTAAAATAAGATATATAATATCATAATATCGATATATTGATCGATATACTCCTGTATCGAATCGAATCGTAATCTTATCGTAGAATTTTTTGAGGTATCTGCAAATATCTAATCGCTGGGTATGAGAATCGATATCGTATTGTATCATGACGAACCATCCGATTTACACCCCTAATTAGAACTAATGGTGCCTGGTGACATTCATTTCATGTATACGAACTATTCCTTCATGTTTGAATGAGAGCAAGCATGATTCTGATTGGATTTGGTAGCTATTTAAATTTTGCCCTGTTCCTCACACAAAGCTATTGAATGCTTTCAGAAGATTTAGAATATAGTCTCCTGAGTCATGCAGACTACATTTATTGTGCTTTTATAATGTTTTTTTTTTGTTCTTTTCAGGGCTTGACAGTCCCTGGTGACTGTAAGTTTTCATTTTATCAGCATTCTGCAGCAACATTCTGCTGAACTATTTTGCTAAATTTCTGTGTTCCAAGGAAGAAATTAAGTTAATTTCTTGTCAATTTCAAGTTGTATTAGGAATGACAGGAGAGTGAGAAAAAGATGACAATTTTCCTTTTTGAGTGAACTAATTGTTGCACTTGGACAAACATACCAACAATCAATAAATCAACCAATAAATTTTTTTTTTTAAAAATGGGACTATGTTATTAAAGCAGTGGTGCATCAGGGAGTTATTAGAGTCTGGCTTGCTACATGTCCTGTGCACTCCTCACCCTTTCCTCAATTTTACAGTTGTCTTTCTGGCCTAAAAATAAAAGGCTGAAAACCCCACAGATCAATTTAAAAGGATAGTTCAACGAAAATGGAAGTTCTGCCATCATTTACTCACCCTTAAGTTGTTCCAAACCTTTATGAAATTCTTTCTTCTGCTGAACACAAAAGAAGGTATTTTGAAGAATGTAACCAAACAGTTTCTGGTCCCCAATTACTTCCACAGTATTATTCATTGAAATCAATGGGGACCAACAACTGTTTGGTTAATCATATTCTTAAAAATATATTCTTTTGTGTTCAACCGAATAAAAAATAAAAAAATCATGCAAGTTTGGAACAACTTGAGGGCGAGTAAATGACAGAATTTCCATTGTCGGTGAGCTATCCCTAAAAAGGCTAATTAAAAGCAAAATTCTGTTTTTGGTTTACAAAAATGACATACTGCGAGGCTGAACTGCTGTAAAAGCAGTGTGTATTGAAATGCCATGACGTCTTGATTAATTTCCATCTCTGAAACAGAAGTTAGGAGTAGTTTTTTTTTTTTTTTTTGCATAGAAGGAAAGGCGTAAGACAAAGTGCCAACACAACAGCAGACAGCAAGAAGATGACAAAACATTTCATGCACAGTTCAACACCACAGGCTTCATTTCCGTTAGGCCTCTGCTTCAATATCAAATCCATGTTTTATGTGTATAATCTCTCACTCTTTCTCAGTTTAGAACATTCTACTTCTATCTCTCTCTCCATTCATCTTTTCTCTCTCTATCCATCTTTTCTTTCCTGTTTTTGACACTCACACTACAATGCCAAATAGTACATAAAATACAAGGCAGTGTAAGCTGTCTTAAATTCTCCACAAGTCCTCAAATACATAAATACAGCAGAGCAGAACAGAAATGTTATGGAGACTCAGTGGAGGTCTTTTGTAAAAATTAACATAAATTTTCTCTCTGACTACCTTAGAACCATTGCGTAAATTCTCTGATAAATCCTTAATTAGTATTCGGTTATGCTGTTGGCTTAAATGAATGGGTTGAAGACATTGACAAAATGCTTAATTTCTACACAAGGGAAAAAAAAGGTGACTTTTTTTTTCAAATCAAAAATGCATCCGCCTTAGAAAATTATACAACATTCTGATGCACTCTCTATCTTCCACAGTGATGGTCCACAGTGTTATGGTTCAAATTCCTGATTTCCCCTCTAACACTCTCCCTCTTCTCCCTAAGAATCACAGCAGTAAAACCGCTGTGGTTAGCAGTGAGGCCATATCTTTATCTACAGTGAAATTTGGAGATGTAAATAAGTGATTTATAGAATGTAACTTTGTGCTAAAAATGTGGCTAAGCAATCTACAAACCATGAGCCACCTTAACAGAACATTGGTTTAGTCTCTGTGCATTATAGGGGACAGTCTATTGAAAACAAGCATTTTTTTTTTGCTTTTGTAGGAAAAGTAAAAAATGAAAAATTGAGAAAAATTATAACTATTAGCAGGGCTTTATGAGTTAAAAAAAATAAAGTGAAACAAATGGGGGGGAATAATCAAACAACTAGGGAACAGAGTTATGACAATGTCCAATATCTAACTTTCATTGTTTGTATCTATCAACACACCAGGGTTAAGTTGCAATTTTTAAAAATCGAAAGTTCCTCAAGACACATGAAGCCATTTCATTCATCCTCTCAACTTTTCACCAGTCTGAAACTAGAACAGTCATCATAACGCTTGTTAGACGTTATCGTAGTAGCATCAGGCAGCTTTCAAGTGTATAAGAATTCAAATGAATTTAGTTTTTGAGGCATTTCAAACCTTGCTGTAGTTTTTGAGGGCCATGTCTCTGCTTGGTCCAGACACTCTATTTAAATTAAGAATAGTAGTCATGTTCTGCAGCTTGTTCTCCAAAAAACAACTGTGCATGTGAACCCATGCATTTTTCAGAAGGATCACTTAAAACAACACATTTCCAGTTTCCTCTGAGCAAAGAGGTTGCCTTGTTGATGCAGGATTCCTGTCAATCCCGGTTCAAATCCTTGATTCAGGGAGATTCATCCCATAGAAGACAAATATTAAAATGTACAGTAGGTTGTTTATGTCCAATTAGAAGACTGCCTCTCTCCCATATATGCACTGAGCTCTGTGAACAGTCTGTGAGCTGAATGCGGTGTGGGCTGCCCTTGAATCCACCTCAGTGCACCAGCCAGAGTTAAAACAGCAATGTCAGGGACACTGATCATTACACCGGGAGGTGAAAACAGCATTTGGTATCACCACCTGAAATGGCATCATCGCCTCCTGGCACCACATTTATAATGCTTCCTATAAGCATCTGGGCCAATTAAAAGTTTTATAGTGTCATGAACAGCAGGCTACATTGTAATGGAGACCAGAAGGCACAAAGGGATTCTGCAGAGCCCATGTTGATTAAAAACTGTGTATCTATGCAGTACATGACTCCTAATTATGGTTTCTAAATCAAAGCTATCATGTGTAGGAGTAATCTATATCTGGAATGCTTCCTTCTCTATAGCCACGGATGGTACCATAGCCAGAGTTGGTCATGTTATGGGATGGCTTGTATAGACCTGTGCCATTCGAGGGGAAGATGGTGTGTATAATGTAATCCTCTCTCACTGGTTTCGGTTGAAGGGGCTGCCTTGTTGCCATTGGTGTCATCTGAAATCCTGGACCTCTGATCTCTAAGATAGTATTGTCTTTCTTTGTGCCTGACTCAATGTAGTCATCATAGTGTTTGCTCTTGCGAGAGCTACTATGGCTGTAATGGCCTCGTGATGTGAAATGTCCTGCACGGTGCCCATACCAGCAGAAAATGGCAATGATAAGAGCGAGGGAAACTATTGCCGTAGCACCTCCAATAATTCCTGCAAGAGGAAGAGAAGTCAATTGATCAGAGCTCTCATCTTCACCATCATCATCAGAATGGCTAGGATCAGATGTTTCTGTTCTGGCACAAACTGGAACCTCATTTGATTCTGTGTCCCCCCCAGGCAAACTACTCCTGCTTCCACTGTTAGATACTAGAGGTACCATGCAGATGATGTAGCTGGAAGCAGGCTGCAGGGAAGTGAGAAGATACTCCCGCCGATCACCTCTAACCAAGGTTTCTGTGATGGACCCCATGGCAGAGCTGGTTCCTAGGCGAAGCCAGCTTAATCGAAAGGAAGAAGATGTTTGTGCTACACTCCAAGTAACACGGATGCTGTCATGGGATAGGGGTTTCACATTCAGGGCCAGGTTCTTGCCCACACCGCTGCTGCTTAATGTGTAGTCCAATCCTGTTTCTGAGAGACCGATGCCTGGTCGCTTGGACCTGAGTGTAAACAGGGACCCTTGAGGGGGAGAAAGAGTGGTAGAAATGACTCCCGCTGCTCCTCCACTCACTCTGTTACCACCAACGCCAACCCCTGTACCTACTCCACCACCACCAGCAGCAGCCAACTCACATTCATCCATCTGATTTGTGAGGTCTCTAAGCGCCATGTCTCGGACTCGCTCTGGTGTCTGGCAGATAAAGCCTCTCACTGTAATTGTATTCCCCTTTGCTTCCAGCCAGTCATGTAGCCAGCGCAAGTTGCACCCACAATGCCATGGGTTTCCTCGCACAAGTAGCTGCCCCAGGCTCTCCAAGTCCCTGAACAATCCTCTGGGAAGGGTAGTCAGATTGTTTCCAGAGAGATCTAGGCGCTGCAGTCTGCGCATTCCATCAAGTGAGCCCCGAGGCATGTGTATAAGGTTATTGTCCTGAAGGGAGAGTCTCTGCAGGTGGGCACTGGGCAAGTTAAGTGGGGGTGTTTGAAGTGAATTACGGACGAGGGAGAGTTCTGTTAAATTTGACAAGCGTGAGAAGGTGTCATCAGCTATGCGTTGATTAGCTAAAAGATTACCATCCAAGACCAGGCGACGTAAAGAGGACAAACCTCGGAAGGCATGAGTAGGAATAGTAGAGATTCGGTTGTCATCTAAACGGAGCTCTTCAAGTGAGGCAGGAAGACCAGATGGGATGCTAGAGAGGTGGTTTCTGGAAAGGAAGAGGAGACGTAATCGAGGGTTGTCCGCAAAGGCCTGGTCCTCAATACTCACTGTAGAAACAGAGTTGTCGTCCAGATGCAACTTTTCAAGTAGTGGAAGTCTAGCAAGTGCAGTCCTTGGCAACACTCTAATATTGTTGTCCTGGAGGTGAAGCTCTCTTAATGAAGGTGACAAATGCATGGGAAAGTCATCAAGCTCATTATCATAGAGATATATGACTCGCACAGTCGTGTGATGTTCCAAGGACCTAGGAAGCCCTGCATTGTCAATGTGATTGTTCTGAAGATAAAGTACAGTTGCAGATGGTGGTAGAGGTGGGATTGCGCTCAATCCACGGTCATTGCAGTAAATAAAGTCCTCATCACAGCGACACACAGATGGGCACACTATGTCACCTTCGCCATCCAGTCCCTGTGCAGAAGCTGCAGTCATCTCCAATAGTTCAGCCAATAATGTGAGGCACAGGAGCAGGAAGAAGAGCAAGTCTCGAAGCTCTCCTATACATTCAGGAGCCATCATGCAACCAGCAAACTCTCCTATCCTCCACTTGCTTTTTATAGCACAATCAACCAATTTAATGACTCTTTACAGAAGATGACTCAGAAGTCCATTTAGACTTGTGGCGTGTTTTGTTTCACCCTGGAAAAGGCAAGAGAAAGAGAGAAACACACATTAGTTAGCAAATACCATGGACAGATTTTTTTATGTTCCAGTAAAAGTCAATGAAATGCCAACATCATATACATGCCAATACATGTTAATTAAATCAGGTCCAATTGCTTAGTCATGCTTACAATTTAAACCATTTTGCATAGTTGCATTTTATTTGAAGTTTGAACCAATGGCCTCAATTACTGCACTAATTATCAAGCATTACAAAACATTTAATTAGAAAGATTGACATAGAATGGCATAGTTTCATATTTGATTGTCTTACCTTATCAGTATCTTTTTGAAGACATAATCATCCAATTATAAAATTTATATTATAATCAGAGCCATACTTTACATCACAATATTTAAGCACTAAGCATGATGGAGATCACAGATTTCTTTGCAAACTAATTTTATTAAAACTCTATAAACTCTCTGGTTGTTTCAGATACTATGGTTATTGGTCATACACAAAGAGTACAATGGTTCTACACAATATTTTTATTTTATTTTATTTATTTCATGTGTAATAATTCAACCATCTACTCTGATGCCAAACTATGAGACCTTAAGGATTTCTAATCCTGTGGCTTCCTTTTGTTTTACAGCCTTAATTTTTATTTTAGCCATCACAAGTCCAGAATTATTAACTAAAATTAAAATGAGTATAGTATAGGTCCAGCTTTTGGCCGATTCTTACCAAATATAGTACATAGCCTTGTTACCTTGTATGTATATGCTAAATTTAATTATGTTCAGTAATTAACAGTGCAACTTATTACCTACTGGTGGCCATTTTTGTTGGTCTGTACGATTGATGATTTTCATGGCAAGGTTAGCAATTGACCTGACTAAGATACAAATTAAATGTAATCTTTCGGTTTCACTTTATTTGATGGTCCCTTTAAAACATTCTGTTGACTATAAGTAGTGTTGCACCTACATGTCTACTAACTCTCATTAGAGTATTAGTAGAGTAGTAGACTGGTAGGGTTAGGGTTAGAATAAGTTGACATGTACTTGCAAAGTTACTTATAGTCAGTAGAATGTCTGTTGGGAGACATGACAATAAAGAGTTAGCAGATATTAAGCAAACTGTCTACTAATACTCTGATGAGAGTTAGTAGACATAGGTGCAACATTACTTATTGTCAACAGAATGTTCAAAAGGGACCATCAAAATAAAGTGTTACCAATCTTTCCTAACAAACTGTTGTGGAGTTATGACAGGTTTTTAGTTGAAGTGCCCCCCATAGGCAGATTTGGATGCAACTTGGCGTGCATCCTCGGAATCTCTTGTTGTCTAGGTTTGAATATTTTGTAGATATAGGTCAATTAGTCAAAATGAGCAACACCAGGGCATTTAATTGGTGTAAATATCCATAATGCTTTGATAAATCAAAATTATTTTGATAGCTTTTTGTTATGAGGGTCTTGATGAGGGCAGGATTCATGTGAATCAATCTAATGACCTAGGTGGAGAGTTTTAGGGTAGAAAAAGAATAATTGGTAAAACAGTACAAATACAGGAGGGTGAGTGTGGAATTAAGGGTTAGTGTAAAAGCGGTGCATGTTGTGTTTTAAATGACCTAAATGAAACATATGGTCAAATGAGACTGCTGACCAATATTGCATATTTAGGTCACTTCATACAGTACAGAGATGAAGGATTAAGAGAGGGGAAGAGAGACTGCTTTACGGATAGAGTAGGAGGGATTAGTAAACATATGTGTTTGTGACTATCTGGATTAAGCAGGTGTTTTCGCTAACAAGGTTCATACTCTTTTACGTTCAGCCTCACCTGGCAGCAGAGACATAATATTAACGTGCATTTTCTAGAGCAGGGTTCTCAACCTGGGGGCTTTGGTTGGAGAATGTTATTTTTAAATATTACTGTTATAATGTGATATAGATTACCTTAACAAAAAATTGCAACCACACAGAACACCCCAGCATTTTGGATGCACTTTGCATGTGCAAGAATGGCACATTTAATTGAGTAAAAATCTTGTTTGTAAAACAGTTTATTATTTATTCTCCTAAAAGATGATAGACATTACTTAAAAATTCTGACAGTAAATCAAATTAATACTTTAGTTCATAATTTTAGCCCCTTTTGAGGAGTGTTACAACCATTTTTGCATTCTTACATGTGAAACCCAGGCTTTATATATATATATATATATATATA